GTCTATCTTATTGTTGGCCTTGTCTAAAGGGCTGCCACCTGAGTGGCCACAATTAGAGGTGATGACAACTCAGCCATCACTTTGGCCTGTCGCTAAAAGGGTTCCTAGTGCCGCACCACCTTGAATTTTCTGTGCTCTCTGTCTCAGGCTTCCCCCTACTCCCCAGTAGGTTGGGCTCTCCTGGCATCTAGGTCTACCTGTATCTTACCCAGAGCTGCCTCATGGTGACAGCCCAGAATTGTCTCAATTTTGCCAGTTTGATTATTCCACACACAATGTCAATTCCAAAAGCATCATCAGCCACCAACAAAAGATGAGCAACCTCCACAACTCCTGTGGCAATTCAGTTCCGATTAACTATGTTCTTCTGAATGAAGACAGCTTGCTAGCTAGCTTCCTAGCTAAACGTGATTCCATTTCTTATGGCCTTTTAAAGCTTCTCCTATAAAATAGTCACAGGTTAGGAGATGCCTCTGTTATACACTGTTCTGCTTCGTGATTTAGAAACAGTTCTGCCCTCCAGGAGTTCACAGTAGAGCAACCTTAAATGCTGGAACTGTCAAACATTTTCCTAAAAACCACCTTTCCCCAGACTTCCCAGGGTGTCCTGTCTGTCCTGCTGTGTTCCGTGTCAGCATGGAGGCTGGGGGGCTGACCACACTGATGACCCAGGAAGTCACAGTTAGGCACCTCGGATGCTGACGTGGGGTTGGTGTGTGATTTAAGGTAAGCTCTGATTTTACTAAATCTTATTTGTCACCCGAGTCCTAATGCACTGCCTGCCTCAGTCATTGAAAAGCTGGATGGAGCAGTTTCTGAGGGGTTCCCATACCAGGCCAGGGCCATCCCCGTGAGCTCCTGGGGTTCAGACCAAGAAAGGAAGAGGCAGCGCCTCAGTGGGTAGATGTCCCCTGCAGCAGTGCTGTGCATGAGCACACTGCTTTGCCATGCACCTGTCCCAGAGGGATGGAAAGGAATGGTTGGCACTGGTTCCTCCTCAATCTGAAACATGGCCACATGGACATAGAGGCAGGCAGCTCCCTGGAGACCCTCTGTGACTCACTCCATGGCTCTGAGTCTCCTCTGGCTTCGGTGTTTTTGGGGAGACAGAGCTCAGGTCAGCCTTGAGTGTCTGGACTTTCCACAGCCATCTCCAGCCCAGCATGAACCAGCTGGAGCAGCCCTGAGAAGTGCCTGTGATGGGAAGGCCCTCTGTGCCTAGAGCCTTGAGGGTTAGGGCAGGAAGGCACAGGGTGAGCTCAGGAACTGCTTGTCCAGGAAGGGCTGGACACAGGGAGGTCGTTAGGAGGCAGAGGAGGGTCCTGGGGTACATCTGTGAGTCAGAGTCTAACTGAGCTTCACCCTTTCCTGGGTCTTCCTTATCTTGGATACTGTGGACAGGTGTCTGCCAGAGTCCGAAACATGGCCGGCCTGGGTGCAAAGTCCAGTCTCACCCTGCCCCAGCACTGAAGGGCCTCTCTGGTGGCCCGAGGAGGCCAGTGATGGCCGGGACAGCTCACTGCTGGCGCCCTGTGTCACTGAGCCCAGTGCTGAGATGGGCACATTGCCTGGGTACCCACTGCGCTTCACTTGTGAGGAGAGGCTTTTGGGAGGAGGGGAGCACTAAGTTCAGCCAGGTCCCCCTTCCTATGCCTGTCCTTGTTGTGCCCTGCTTCCTGGCTTTTTCTTCTCCCCATGCCTTCCTTGGAGAGAACTTTGACTTTTGGAGGCCCTGGGACCAAGAGGCTAATGTCACAGGGGCACTACCAGCGATAATGCCCTGGGCCCTGGGAAAATGACCAGGCTGTGAGCTCTGGGACTAGGGGCTGTTGGTGGGGAGGACATGATCAGTGATGACGTTTCAGGCCCTGGGGACAGTGGTGACAGAGTTCACACTGGCCTCAGATTGCTCTATAGGCAGGGTGGGGTGGGTGAAGGGAGAGGCCTGGGAAGCCTCCCTCTCCCTGCCCCTTTGGGTCAGCCTCTTAGAGCTCTTGGAACTCTGTGCCGTGCCGTGTTCCCAGGGTGAATACTCAGAGCAGAGCAGTAAGAGAGGGGTTGCTGGACTGTAGGTCTCCAAGGACGTGGGGACTGGAGAGGAGGGGACCAGGCTTGCCGGAGGGTGGCACTGCCAGGATGGGGCTTCTTTGCACTCTGCTGTGCTGAGGATAGGGCTGGAAAAGGCTGCAGAGTGGGAGAACCAGTGCTAGTTTCCCAGGCTCCTCGGGCTTCTCTGCTCAGGGAAGCCAGGACAATCGGAGGCCTGCTGTGTCTTGACCCTCAGCTCAGAGAGGGCAGCTTTAGGGGAATGGTTACTGGCTGGGCTGGCAGACTGTCTGGCTGTACTCCAGGGTAGCTGCTAAAAATACCGTGTATGACGCAAACAGGTGCTGGCCAGAAGCAGGGGAGGGTGACCCCTGCCTACTGCCTGCCTGCTCTGATCTCCTGGAGCCTGCTGGCCACACCCTCCACCTGCTCATTCCCCTGAGGCTGGAGAGGACCCAGGGCAGCCAGAAGCCAGCAGGGCAGGAGGAACAGGGCAGAACTGAGGGGTGGATGGGATGCCCTCTGAGGAACACCTGTCTACTTCACTGTCTGTCCTTGTGTGGTTTGTGGTGGTCTGTCTTGAGCTATGCTTTCACAAATTCCAGCTAAACAGGATTGGGTAAGAAGGGTAGGTGGGGTAGTGAGAGCGCTCAGTTTGTCCCACCCAGTCCTGACCAACTTTGGTGGTTGTCACATCCCTTGGAAGCCGTGCCCCATCCGGCCAGCAGAGGGAAGGTCCCTGCTTGGGGGAAGCTGGTGTAGGTGGCCTGTGTGCCCCTTGAGGGGCTTCCCACTAAGACAGGCTCCAGTGGAGACAGAGGGTCCCCTAGGGAGAGTCAGGGGCCTTTACCAAGGAGGGGACATGGAGTCTGGCTAGCCGCTAGAGCCATATGACAGGGTTGTCATCGCCCCCAGTGCTGGCTGTCCCAGGCCAGGCTCATGGTCTGTCTGTGTTTGAGGACAAGAATGACAGGTCAAAGTAGCCAGACACACATGGGGCTTCGGTCATCACAGAGGGTCCTCTGCTCTCTGTCTGCGCATACTCTCACTCAGTGGTGAATGAACGTTGAGGTAAGCAGGGGCCAGATGGCACTGGGCTGTGGCAGTGCCCAGACATGGGTTCTCACTGCCTCAGGCAGGCAACCAGTCTGTGTAGTGTGGTGACTTTATGTTATGACTGTATCTTGCTTCTGTGCTTGACCCTGCAGGACCCTGAGGAGTGGCCCTCACCCTAGCCATGCTGGAGGTGCTCGCAGGAGGTCATGTGTGCTTCCTCTAGCCCTCATTGCTCTTGGCTCACCGACACTCAGCAACCCAAGACCATTTACAGGGAAAGCAGGGCTAGCCACTGTATCTGACCACTATGGCAGCTATTCCTGAGACCCTCCCCTGTTGAGGGGTCACACACATTCTTGCTGGAATAGACCCAGGCCTGCCCATCTACCTTGAAAGGAGGAAGAAGCTCTTTTCATATCTTACTGCCCTCTGCTAGGATGGGCCAGCCCATGTGGGAGACTGTATGGCCCAGGGAGGCATTTGGTGGAACCATCAGGGCGAAGTGGAGCCCACTCCAGGAAGCAGGCATCCGCTATTTGGTCAAAGGCTCCTCTCCTGGTTTGTGATGGGTTAGGAAGGCCTAGATGTTGGTGGAAGCCCTGGGTGTCCTGGGCATGATGATGAGGGGCTGTTACAGGAAGCATACAGGAAGGAAGGGGGATCTGCAGTGGGCCAAGCTGCCAGGCCTGAGAGCAAGGCTGCAGCCTAAACCAGCAAGCAGAAGGGCCCGGTTGAGCAAGCCTGGGGCCCTGAACTTAGGTTCACCTTGTGAACACAAACAGCAACTTGGTTCTACAAGGATCTGACCCCCAGCATGGCGACAGGCTGAACCTTCAGAAATCACTTGAGTTGATATACACGTTTCTACTTATCTTCCAAATCCACTTATGTCTTAAAAAATACCCTTTTTTCCTGAGAATAGCAGAGTAGAGAAAAGACAGTGTTAAGTACACAATTTGATGCAGATGCAAAGGAACGCATGTATAATTGGCTTCCAGGTCAGGACGAGCAATGAAGGACCTCCCTCCCTGACTCTTTGAGCCCTGGATTTGTGAGGTCTGTTGATGGACTTTACTGAAGCAGGATTGTGTAGTGATTGTATTTGGTGATTTCCCTTCAGTACCACATTTGTGAGATTAATTCTGTCACTGTGTGCTACTATGGTGACGTCACACTCCACCGTGGAATAAACAACGTAGTATACCCATTTCACATGAAGACATGTGCTGCTGTGAGCACACGTGTAATCCCAGTCTCATACCTGCAGCTGCTGGGTCAGACTTCTCAAGAAGGCTCTGGGAGGGCATGTGTCCTCACCAGTACTGGCCTGCTGGACACACACACAGTGTAGTGAGTGGCCTGGTGGCTAGAGAAACCAGGTGTGTGGTATCTTTCGAAGCTGTTCCAGTGTTTCTCCCATTTTCTGTTGAGTTGTCTGCTTGTTCACACAGATTTGTAGGCCTCATTTACACAGTGGGTACAAGCTCTTTGTATGTGAGTCGGGGAATGGGGTGGGCTGCAAGGATTTGCACTCACATGGTTGTGCCTTTCCAGTCTCTTAGTCGGGCATTGAGGAACAGCTGTTCTTAACTTCAGTCCAGTCTCATGATCAACTGACTGCAGTTGTCTGCTTCCACCTGAAAGCTTTGTCTTACCTTGCACCTTCACACCTGGGATCCAACTCTATTTACACCTGATGGCTCTGTCGTGCCTAGCTCCCGGAATAGCCCACGTTCAGTGCCCACTGACAGAACTCCCTAGTCACATACCAGGCCAGACTACTGTTCTCTCTCACCGGGTCAGCCATGGGGTCCCCACTGAGGGGCCATGACTCCCTCCCCCACCTCCACTGCCCTCTCTGATGGACAGGTGCCACCTCAGCACCTTCCTAGCCTTCTGCTCACCATGCTCAGTCTGCCACAGGGCATTTGCACATTCAAGTCCCTGTCCATGGTTGCTTGCTACTTCCCATGTCAAGTGCTCGGCCTCCCTGTGTTCAGGAGTAGGTGAGAGCCCCTCTCTACTCGGCCACCTGACCTACTAAGGCACAGTGTACAGGCGTCCCAGGTGATGTTCCGATTCCTGACCACCCAAGGCTCAGGCCAGGCTTTGGCATTGTTCCCTGAACCTGGAGTACTCCCCGAGGCCCACCCAGTAGCACTCTGAATGCGTATTGGATGGCTGATTGCAAGCCGCCGTTCCTGGTGGGGCAGCTGCAGGCCTGTGGACAAGTCAGCCTGGTGAGCCTCTCGTGATGACCTGAGAGGTGTTTTCACCCTGCAGAGAGATCGCCAGCAGTCCTCGCCCACCATGGACCCAGATCCCCAGGCTGGCGTCCAGGTGGGCATGCGTGTGGTGCGCGGCCTGGACTGGAAGTGGGGCCATCAGGACGGTGGCGAAGGTGGCGTGGGCACAGTGGTGGAGCTCGGCCGACACGGCAGCCCCTCGACCCCTGACCGCACAGTCGTTGTACAGTGGGACCATGGCACCCGCACCAACTACCGCGCTGGCTACCAGGGCGCCCATGACTTGCTGCTCTATGACAATGCCCAGATTGGTGCGTCCAAGTGCAGGGGATGGGGATGGGGCATGGGAAGGAAGGGAGGAGTGGGGTTCAGCTGACTCCCTCCTGGCCCCACTCCCAGGTGTGCGTCACCCCAACATCATCTGTGACTGCTGCAAAAAGCATGGGCTGCGGGGCATGCGCTGGAAGTGCCGCGTGTGCTTCGACTACGACTTGTGCACGCAGTGCTACATGCATAACAAGCACGACCTCACCCATGCCTTTGAGCGCTACGAGACAGCCCACTCACGCCCGTGAGTACCCAGGCCCCACTGGTGGGTGGAACTCAGGACCTTGGGACAAGTCTCCTTGAAGGTGCTGCTGAAACCTGACCAGGTCTTGAGCTGTGAGCTCTCAGGCCTAAAGCTGCCACTAGGGTCATTCAGGGGCCCTGAGCAACCCCATCCACTGGGGAAACTGGCAATGTCTGGGGACGGGTCTACAGAGGTGGATGCTATGGCCTAGTGCCACCTCAAGAGCCAGAGTCGCCCTGTGTAGTGATAGCTGCTTGGGGGCCTGTTGGGGATGAGCAGATGCTGCCATACCCCATGGGTTGTGAGCAGTGAGCCTGAGGCAGGGTGATCAAGCTGGGAGCCAGCTCTAAGGTAGGGGTGGGGAGACTCATTAGCCTGACTCTGGTTTGGGGAATAGGACAGCCTTGGGAGCAAGAGTCTTACTATCCATGGGTACCTCTGCTCTCCACAAACTGAGTCTTTCTGCTGAGTACTACAGATGACCTTGAGGGGTGCCCAGCCCAGGGGAGGCAACAGACTGGGAGCAACTGTGCACACAGACTGTGCAGGGAAGACGAGCCTGGGGTGTTAGCCTGGCTGAACATCAGGGGAGGACCTTGGAGAAGGCGGTCAACAGGCTTGCTCCAGGGCCCTGGGCCCTGGGTGTGGAGGGGACTGACCTAGGCTGGTCCAGGACAAGAGCTAGGCATGGGAACCAGGCTCCAGCCAGGGTGCAAGTAGGTGCTGGGCATAGAAGAGCAAGGCTGGGCTTATCTCAACCCTGGCACATTTCTCTTGCAGCATCACACTGAGCCCCCGCCAGAGCCTCCCAAGGGTCCCGCTGAGGGGCATCTTCCAGGGGGCGAAGGTGGTGCGGGGCCCCGACTGGGAGTGGGGCTCTCAAGATGGTGAGTGGGCGGCAAGGTGGGCTGGGGCAGGGCTGTGGTGGGCTATGATTCAGCCTCATGCTGCAGTCTTAGCCTGCCAGCAGGGCCCACATCTCCCTAGGAGGGGATGGGAAGCCAGGCCGTGTGGTGGACATCCGTGGCTGGGATGTGGAAACAGGCCGGAGTGTGGCCAGTGTGACATGGGCTGATGGCACCACCAATGTATACCGTGTGGGCCACAAGGGCAAGGTGGACCTCAAGTGTGTGGGCGAGGCGGCTGGCGGTTTCTACTACAAGGAACACCTCCCACGGCTCGGTAGGAGGCTGGCCTCACCCAACACCATGCACACCCTGCTCTGCCTCCCTTTCAACTCAGCCTCTGGAGATAGAGGGAGGAGACACTGCCTGAGGCTTAAACCTTGTTGCCACCCACAGGCAAGCCAGCAGAGCTGCAGCGGAGGGTGAGTGCAGACGGCCAGCCCTTCCAGCATGGAGACAAGGTCAAATGCCTCCTGGACACGGATGTGCTGAGAGAAATGCAGGAAGGTCACGGCGGGTGGAACCCTAGGATGGCTGAGGTGAGCTGCACCCCGTCTGCTGTGCCCAAGTTCCCCTTTCTTCCCTCGTCCTCTGGACCCCATTCCCCTCCTCCCCTAAGAGTCCTACTCAGCCCAGCCACAGTCTCCGTGACGCACTACAGTTTATCGGACAGACGGGCACCGTGCACCGCATTACAGACCGTGGGGACGTGCGCGTGCAGTTCAGCAATGAGACTCGCTGGACCTTCCATCCCGGGGCACTCATCAAGGTGTGCTACCAAGACCCCAGCCCTGAGAACCAAGTGCCTGGAGTCTGCGCTATGAGGGGTAGGGGGGTAGGCTGTAGAGGCTGCAGGTTGAGGCAACCCAGGTGCTGAGGATTCAGGAGGCAGAAAGTTCAGGCTAGGGGACGAGGGCAGCGTCCCCAGGGTCCCTTGGCTAAAAGCCACCAAAGTGTTTAAGGAGGGAAGTGGCACAGCTGGATCTGCTTTCTAAGTGATCCCTCTGGGCACAGTGTGGGGAGCAGACTAGAATGGCAGAGAAGCTATGGGGAAGTCCGTACAGAGGACAGAGTGGTACAGACTTCATTGGCAGGGATAGAGCACTGAGTGAGGGCCACAGTGAGAGCTGTTTGGGAAGCCAGGTGGCTGGAGAAGGTGGGGGAAGTGAAGGGCCATAAGTAGTGACCTGGGAGGGGGCAATATGAGGGCAGGCTCAGCTCTGAACCTGTGAGTCAAGGACACTGAAGGGTGTGGCTCAGGACAGATGGGTGTGTGGGGTGGGGGGCGGTGCCATATTTGTAGGAAAGATGTCAGAGGAGAGGTGGAATGGGCCTGGGCAGTGGTTTTGGGCCTCCCCTTTAGGTCATTCTGATGCCCAGGGCTGAGGCTTCACTGGCCTTCCCTTTTCTAAGCTGGGCTGCTCAGCTGCTCTCGGCTATCACTCCAGGACCTGGGTGGGCCCCTAGGGCTGTCCTGGTCCTAGGGACTTCATCCAGCCCACACCCCTGACTGGGGGCCACCTCACATGCTGCTTTGTCTCTCAGCACAACTCCTTCTGGGTGGGCGATGTGGTCCGGGTCATCGATGATCTTGATGCAGTCAAGCGACTGCAGGCCGGGCACGGCGAATGGACAGATGATATGGCCCCTGTGAGTGCCCACCCCACCCAACCTGCCCACCCTGCTGCCCTGGAGACTTGCTTGTAACCCCGCCCTCTGCCCCTGTAGGCCTTGGGCCACGTTGGGAAGGTGGTGAAGGTGTTCGGGGATGGGAACCTGCGTGTGGCTGTTGGCGGCCAGCTGTGGACCTTCAGCCCCTCCTGCCTGGTGGCCTATCGGCCCGAGGAGGACACCAACCTGGATGTGGCTGAGCGGGCCCGGGAGAACAAAAGTAGGGGCAAGCCCGGGTGGCCAGTGGGGGACGGGGGCTGCCCTGCTCTCCTGACCTCCACCCTGCTGCCAGGCTCCCTGAGCGTTGCCCTGGACAAGCTTCGGGCACAGAAGAGTGACCCAGAGCACCCAGGGAGACTCGTGGTGGAGGTGGCACTGGGCAATGTGACTCGGGCACTGGACCTGCTGCGGCGGCACCCAGAGCAGGTGAGGCCCCAGGACACCCTCCCTACCTGCCCTTCCTCTCTGTTCCTGTTTAGCCCAAGGGAGCAGGGCGTTGAGGGTCCTGGGCTGATGTGGCTCTCTCACAGGTAGATGCCAAGAACCAGGGCAGGACCGCCCTGCAGGTGGCTGCTTACCTGGGTCAGGTGGAGCTGGTTCAGCTGTTGCTGCAGGCGCGAGCAGCTGTGGACATGCCAGATGACGAGGGCAACATAGCGCTGCACTATGCGGCCTTGGGGTGAGGCTTGCTCAGGTGCGGTTTGGGGGAGTATGGGAGGGTCCTGCTCACCAGCACAGTACCTCTTTCGCCTCCTCCTGCCCAGGAACCAGCCAGAGGCTGCCAAGGTGCTGCTGAGTGCTGGCTGCAATGCCGATGCCCTCAACAGCTCTCGGGGGTCAGCGCTGCACGTGGCTGTGCAGAGGGGCTTCCTGGAGGTAGTGCGTGTGCTGTGCGAGTGTGGCTGCAATGTCAACTTGCCTGTGAGTGCCGGCTCTCCCGGTCTGTCCCTGGGGTAAGGTGGCAGCTGGGTAGCTTTCTGGCTGAGTGACCCCAGCCTATCCCCTGGCAGGATGCCCACGCTGACACCCCCCTGCACTGTGCCATCTCTGCCGGTGCTGGGGCCAGTGGTATTGTCGAGATCCTTACTGAGGTGCCAGGCATTGATGTCACCGCCACCAACAGCCAGGGCTTTACGCTGCTACATCACGCCTCACTCAAGGGCCACGTGCTGTGAGTGGGATGGCCGGGTGGGCAACTGGACAGGTCCTCGAGACAGTCCTTGGGCCTGGCCAGACCTGATTGCTCCCACAGAGCCGTCCGGAGAATTCTGGCACGGGCTCGGCAGCTGGTGGATGCCAGGAAGGAGGACGGCTTCACGGCACTACACCTGGCTGCCTTCAACAACCACCGTGATGTGGCCCAGATCCTGGTCCAAGAGGTGTCAGCATGGGGCCCGGGACTGCCCAGCCCAGAGTTGAGGAGTTGCACCCTGGGGCTAAGCCTGTGTCTCCGTGTCCTGACCCAGGGACGCTGTGATGTGAACCTGCGCAACCGGAAGCTCCAGTCCCCATTGCACCTGGCTGTGCAGCAAGCCCACGTGGGGCTGGTGCCCCTGCTGGTGGACGCTGGTTGCAGTGTCAATGCTGAGGATGAGGAAGGGGACACTGCCTTGCACGTGGCACTGCAGCGGCACCAGCTGCTGCCTCTGGCAGCTGATGGGGCCGGGGGGGACCCAGGGCCCATGCAGCTGCTGTCCAGGGTGAGGAAGTGTGGGCTGGGCTGGGCTGGCTTGGAGAGGTGGCCACTGACCCTGGGCAAGGCCTGGGTGATTGTCCACCTTCCTGGAGAGCCCAGGGAATCAGGCATACTGAGGGGTGGGGACAGCCATCTGCAGCAGATGTGGTCTCTGACCCCTCCCACCATAGCGTGGCCAGTGCTCCTGATCAGCCTGGGCAAGGACAAGGGTGGGGTCTGTGAGAGTGAATGGGTAGAGGTGGGGCCTCAGAATACAACCCTTTGTACCGAGCAAGGAGCTTTTCCCACCAGGGGCTTCAGAGAGGAAGGAGATGCTCAGTCTGCGGGGGCCGTGGGGGTGGGGTCCCCCCAGTGCCAGCAGAGGTTTCTAGACAGCGCCCAGCCTTATCGAGTCCATCTCGCTGCCCAGCTACAGGCCTCTGGCCTTCCCGGCAGCACCGAACTGACAGTGGGCGCCGCTGTTGCTTGCTTCTTGACGTTGGAGGGAGCCGACGTGAGCTATGCCAACCACCGCGGTAGGAGTCCACTGGACCTGGCGGCCGAGGGCCACGTGCTGAAGGCCCTGCAGACCTGCGCCCAGCGCTTCCGGTGAGCCTGCGCCTGAGCGGTGGAAGGGGTGGCTATCGCCGCTGGGTCCTTTAAAACCCCTACTCTTCCAATGCAGGGAGCGGCAGGCGGCAGAGGGCAGTGGTGGTGGGGGCGTGGCGGGCGCCGGCCACATGCTCTGCACCCCCTACACGGTGACCAACTTCCATGTGGCGGCAGCAGCGGGCCCTGAGGCCGCCGAGTGCCTGGTGTGCTCCGAACTAGCGGTGCTGGTGCTCTTCTCACCGTGTCAGCACCGCACAGTGTGCGAAGGTGAGGAGGACGATGCCAGTGGGAGGTATTGGGGTGGGTGGGGACAAGGCCCCGCCCAATGCACTCTCTTCCCCCACCCCCCACAGAGTGCGCCCGCCGGATGAAGAAGTGCATCAGGTGCCAGGTGGCCATCATCAAGAAGCTGCGCCCAGGTGCGTGGGGTGGGATTCGGCATCCCTCACCCAGTTCACCTGAAGGAGCCTCCGCTGCCAGTGCCCCTCCAATCCCGTTTGCTCCCTTCCCCTCCGAGCTTCACACCCCTCACCCCCACCCCCTGCAGACGGCACTGAGGTGGCCAACGTCCCGCCCGCTCCTGGCCCTCCACGACAGCTGGTGGAGGAACTACAGAGCCGCTACAGGCAGATGGAGGAGCGCATCACCTGTCCCATCTGTATCGACAGCCACATCCGCCTCGTGTTCCAGTGTGGACACGGCGCGTGTGCACCCTGTGGCGCCGCGCTCAGCGCCTGCCCCATCTGCCGCCAGCCTGTGCGGGACCGCATCCAGATCTTCGTGTGAGCCGGCCGAGCCCGGTGCCGCCCCCCACATCCATGTTTTATAAAAGTATCCATGCACTCTGCTGCCCGTGCCTGCCTGTGTGCGGCCTGCCCGCACGTTCGTGACTGCCCCCTGCCGCCACCCCTCCACAAACCCTCCTCGTTCCTACTCGGCCCTCTTAACTATTTGCAGGGTTCTGGCCAAACGCTCCCCTCCCCCCAAGCGCCAGCCCCACTTGTTATGCCCGCTCTGGGCTCTGCCAGCCCCCACCTCCTGGCCAGGAACAGCCTCCTCAGGCTCTTAGAGGCTGCTTCCCCCCAACACATACACCTCCACCACCCAACGGAGCAGGTCTTCCAACTGCACTGTGTAGGGCCAGGCATCCCGCCCGCAGACTGCCCCTAATTCCTGAAGCTCGGATACCCTGTCAGCCTAGCTAGGGGCTTTCTCAAGACCCCTAACAACGTCCCTGCCCCCTCCCATCCTTTCTGCCCTCGACCTTCTGGGGGTATGCCCAGTCTGCAGGGACTGTGGGGTCCTGGCTACACAGCTGAGCAGGGGCTTGTAGGGGAAAGGAGGGGAACAGCTAGGTTTCAGGACCAGAAAGTATGCGAGGAGGGGCACGGACCTGGGGAAGAGGTGGTCCCTGCCGGGGGCAAAAGCAAGGGGGGGGGGGAAGTTTGTTGGCGTATTGGAGTAAATATTTAGCCTTGGAGGAGGGGGCGCTGTCCTGAGCTGAAATCCTTGCTTTCCAAGAACCACCCGCTGAGCTCCGCCCAGCCGCTGCCCGCCAGCTGCTTGGCGCTGACCCTGTTGGCCAGACCTACTTTGTCACCTCGGCTAAAGCCAGAATAAGGGGAGGGGACCGGATGTGCCCCCACCCCGTTTGCCCTCGAGGACTGCCAGCCCGATCCTTTTCCCTGCCCAAAGGCTCTCTGCCATCCCTGCCTGCTAGACCTGTCTGCAGTCCTGTTTCTGGGGCTCAGTACAGCCACTGTCGCTGCCCCCTTAACCTAGAAGGTTCCAGACTCTCGACGCCCCGCGCCGAGCTCAGCTTCCCGTTTTTCCCTCGCGACAGACCCTTGTCCCTTCTAAGCAGAGGGCGTCATTTGGGGACCGTCGCTCCCCACTCCCGCAGGACCCGTTTGCCCCCACAGTTTCTCCCTGGGGGTCCTCACCTCCCAGGTCTGTCCCTCCATTTCCCCCTTCCCTGCACCCCTGCCATATCCCCTATGCAGGTTCTTTCCTGACGCCACGTCCCTAAGTCCCCCTCCCGCCCCAGCCTCTCTCCGCCCCATCAGCCGCCCCGTACTCAGTCGTCGTGTCCCCTCCCCTCGGCTCTCGCGGGGATGTGTCCTGGGTTGGCCCTACTGGGCGGCCCAGGCCAGGACAGAGGCTCGACTCCCGGGTCTTATCCCGTGCCTGAGATGTGGGTGTGGGTCCATTTGGAGAAAAAGCCACCAAGTCACACAACCACCAACCACCGAGGAGACGACCTTTCCCTAAGCCTGAGCCCCTGGTGTGTATCCCCTTCCGGGACGCCCCAGTCCTCCACAATCTCTAGGGTACTCCCCGCAACCATCTCAGCAGTCCCGCCCAGCAGGCCCTGCCCAGGACACTAAGCCGACGACAGAACTCTTGGTCCCCGCAGACTGCAGCGGCGGGCTGCTCCGACCGGGGGCGGCCAGCTGGTTCCCTTCAAGGCGGCCGCGCCTCCGTTCCCCCCCTCTC